AGGTTCTTCAATCTAGTCGACTTGCGTTACGGATGGGAGCAAAACAGTTTGAATGGCACCAGGAGTGCCTGCGAGGCTTGTATGCAACATCTATAATTATGTTATATTTTTTAAGAGAATATACAAAGTATTTGGCTTTGATTTTTAAAGATTTGTTGACAATATTTTATTATGCTTATATATTCAGAGGAATTTATATTCTTCCTCTATGAAATTCTTTCTGCGTTATTTCTCATTCAGCATGTAGTTCAAGCCCATGTCTTTCACAATATAAAACTGCTTTTGTATTATTTGTGACAGCGTGCACCGAGGCTTACACAAATCCGAACGATCGTTACGTCTGTAACTCTGGCTGTAATTTCATGGCCAAGCAACGAATTTCAGACCTATTGTCTCTGTTCACCGTCGCCATATGCATGGAGGAAAGTATAGATGTTTTACCAATGTCGCCCGACATACCGGAGAATGACATATTAACCGATCCTGGATTGCGCAAGGAACTACTCCCTAGATGGTGGGATTCTGATGGTTTCAAATTGCCACAGACGTATGTTAAAACCATACCAATGGACGCTAGGGTAAGCGAAACATTTTTCCACAATTAATACTAACGCTAAGCATATATAATATATTTTCGGATATAAATGTGAAATGCATAATTGATAAAATCGTAGACCGTGGATTACACTCTGTCCTCTGACTATTCGGGAGAAACTAGACAACCGGCGTCTACGTCTAAATCCGAATCATTTCAACGTGAAATGGAACAGGCGAACGATGTCTCCGTTCCGTCTTTTGTGTACGGACGAGTTTACGTGATTTTTGCTCCTATGATAATGTCTGCAATGACGTTATTTCTTATATCGAAGAAAGATATCTCAGATAAAAACATGCCTTATAAAAATATCAATTCTTCGTCCGATGTTGCGTTATTTATACCGGATGAAGCGGTGATGTACAAGGTGCCACCACCTAAATACAATGAATCGTCCAGTCATGCCATTTAATTCACAACGTTTCGATGATGATTTAATGCGAGATGTGATTGTATCGCGTTTTAAAAGCCGTAGCATAATATAATAGTGCAATGATACAAATATTGATTACTGTGAATATCTCTTTTAATCGCGCTTTGAAAGTATAGATTACATTTGCAATAAGTGCCATATAGAGAAACCAATTTTTTTTTATAAAATAATTGGTGATGAAATATTTGCACATGTGTGCATATGTAGCATGTTTAGTGAAACACAAGATGAAGTGATAACCATGAAATGGCTGGCAAAGACAAGCTTGTTCGGCGACATAAAATTTTCAAATCGAACTGCGCTCTGTAAAATATCGAGTTTTTCGAAGATTTTTATGTTGATAATTATATTACAGACTGATCTGTTAGTTTTTGAAGTGTGTATATATCAAAGAGAATACAAACTTTTAATATCAAAAATTGCGAAGCCTTTTTCGTCTTTTTTGAATGCAATTGCATAATTTGTATATGTATATATTTAAGCCAATATGTGAATTATATATCATACAACGAACAAGTTCAAATTCGCAGAGGAAATAGACGTAAAACTTTTTCAACGACAATATAGGTACATAATCAAAATGTCATTTGAGTTGATCGCTCTTATTGTTTCGTGGCAAGCCATCATCCGAGAGTCGAAACGATAATAGTACAATATATAAAATGGAGAAGGCTTTGTGCGCGTCGTGATATATTCAAATCTGTCTATAAAAAAATATTGTAAGGTATATATAAATATTTTGTATTATACAAAGATTTATGTCAGTCTTTTTCTTTATAAAAGAAAAAAAGGACTGAAATATTTGTTCATACGAAGATTGTTTCAATTTCGCGTTTTTGCTAGATTATAGAATTGCATTTGCAGTTTCTTCGGCACGGTATATTGTACTTAACACTCACGTAGCATCGGTGTGATCGAAATATTGTATTCCCGTAAACAAGATACATGTAAGAATTACAATTATCTCTGCCGATTATATGATACATACATATAATCAATATAATCCATACACGCATTAGTATATACACGTATTCCGCACGAATCTTTTCAGAATTTTTATAAAGTCTCATCTGTATCATATATTAGAATTTATTTATAGCGTATATATTCTAAGGTAGTATATTTGTTACACATACATAACACATTCTTAATTTTAACAGCGAGCAATATGCGATTAAAGTCTTATTCTTTATTTAAAGAGATACATGAGACGGTGAGGTGTCATGATACTAACGCGCGTTACATCTGTATATATATATTATTTACAGTGTTCACTAGAAAATTTCCATCGTAACTCCTTTTACGCTACTTATTCTTGCAGAACAAGAATAACGCTTTTTATTCTCACGCATGAAAGGGTAACGATGTAACTAAGTTTTTATCTTTTTTTTTTATACGATACATATCGACACGTGTGAGAATATATTGAACGTTTTGTGTGAGAATATATTAAAATCTTTATGCAGAGAGCGATTGATTTTATTAGTGTCATGACGCAGTCTTGAAAGTTTCAAACTAAACTAAATTTACATGTAATCTAGGAATATATGTATAAAAGTAAATGTTCAAGTTCCTGTTTGTAAGACTTATACTTCTTGAATTAAATGTCATTGTTACCGATATACCGAGTATAGAAAGTAAGATTTTGCGCGTGTTCTCCTTCAATGCAATTTGTTGAAAGTAAGCTCGAGCATTTTCTGCGTGTCCGTGCGTATCTCGAGAGCTCCGCAATTAGATATCAGTTTCTGGAGGATGTTATTACTATAACGTATTTATAAATATCAAAATATTTATTGCATATTAGAAAAGTACATGTAAAACCAAAGTATCGTGTTCCTTAACTGGTAGCATCTTATGTAACTACATTCTACAAATAAATGTGCTACTTCCTATATGTAAAACTTGTGAAAATAAAATACAAGTTTACGTGACGTAAAATCGTGTAAATCAGTCGATAATTTCTCTTTTTCCGTTTCACACGTCCAATGGCAATTGTCGGAACAAACAGCGTGTAGAATTTTCGATACAGGCTTAAATTTAACGTTAACAAGTAACAGTTTGGACATAGAAAATATCTGCCCCTTTTTATAAAATACCGCGAAAAAGGCGGAAAGTATGTACATCGAGTGTACATAATTGCGCGTGTACACACATTCACGGATCGGTACCGGTTTGGTTTGCGACAAATCGTTCGCGGATCTTATAAACACGTCTCATCTGTACAATGCGGAGCAGTATCTTGAAGTCAAGTTACATTCTTAATCTATGAAAAGGCTTAATTTGTACAAATTATATGCACAATGTCGCGAAGATTGAATTTATGCAAGTTATCATCTATATTATTGCCAATGCCAATAGAGTTCGAGATTACTTCCGTGCTTTTTCAGAAAATGTCCCGATACATTCCCAAAGCGGGATTCAACAGCAAATGAACCCCGCTTCGAACATTCAGGAGTCTCGTTACTTAAGGAGCACATATCTGATATCCTTATTGTAAGAGATCTTTAGCACTATGCTTCATATGTACAACGTGGAGACTGTCTACAAACTAGAATTACATCGCAATCGTAATCTAAAAGATTTAACTTGTGAAAATTGTTATAAATTAAATCTCGCAGATTAAAATGCGTACGATATAAGAGATCAATTTTGGGCACAATTCGTCTGTATTATTGCCAATACAATTCGGGATCGTCTCTACGAAATTGAAGCTTCAAAACGTGTCGGAATATCTTCAGGGCAGGGCCGAGCAGCAAATTAAGTCCGCACAGAACATCCTTTCGACTCATCATTAAAAGCGCGTGGCCGTCTATCTCCTGAAACATAAATGCAAATAATGCTTAGTGATAAAGGGCAACAAATGCAAACAAACGTGGTGTATCGAAACAATTATGCTAAAAATATTTTGTCCACCTAGTAGAGTAATTAAACTCTTACCTGCTGCCGGAAGACTTCGGCTTCTTTGGGAAACAATCTAGCAAAATATTGATACACTTGCTCGGAAGTCCAACTCCTCGCGTCGGGAATATTCAGATCGATAGGTCCTTTAGGACCATCGTCTTCCATCTGATCGGAGGAACCCCTCGTAGGAGAAACCTGCGGACTCAGAACCGGCGGTAAAATAGTTGTACTGGACGGGCTGTCCGGTCTGCTTGTTCCGTTGACCGAATTAGTGTTCTGACTGTCGGTCGTCTTGCACTGCTGTTTCTGCGTGCACTCGTTGCAATACCATTTGGAGTTCGATTTTATTGTGACGCGAGACGTGTGACAGAAATAGTGATAGGCATCGTCGCAGCTATAACACGTCACTAATGGACCCTGGATCGAGAAAAAGAACGAAATGAAAATTAATTAACGGGATAAAAATAAAGTCACGTGAAATGCGAATAAAAGGCGTGATAAACTTACAGCGTCGGAGGTCTCGCAGCATACGGTACAGGTTTTACAGCGCTCGCACTGCCAATTGCTATTAGCTTTCTGTAGTAACTCCTCTGGACTGTAAATGCAACTCGGATGTGCTGCAAGTATACGTAATATGCATATGTGACACGTCAATAAGAAATTAAAAAAAAAATAATTGAAATTAGTTCTAATTATATTCAAGAATTACCTCGCACTGTACAATCCCTGCAAGCTACGAGAGCCTCCAGTTTCTCTTTGGCACACAGGCTGCACTGCCTGCACGGTCCGTCTTTGACAGTTGGCTTAGTAACCGAATCCTGAGAGTCTTGCATCAACAAATTTTTATTATTACCTGGTCTACCTCGTTTGCGCTTTACCAGGTTGTTATCCGAAGGATCAAATACTTTTCTGGCTCTCTGAAATATAAGAATGAGAGAACACATAAGACGATTCATCAATCTCTGAACGATTCGGATGGACATCGTCAAAGAAAAAAAATTTAGTTTTAAAGGACATATCAATAATTTTTATACATTTGGCATTTTTTTTAAAGATTAACATTATCTTCAATCTTGAAATACTTGTGCATAAATTAATTCTTCTTGTTGATCTATATATAAAAGTATCCATCTAAGGTCATCCAGAAGTGAATAATTTAGAAGACAACCTTATATTTTGTGCTTCATGTGCAAAATATATATTAAAGTGAAATTACATCCTAGTTAAAGACGTATTTCAAAATATTTACAGTTTCCTACAAATACTACACTACATTAACGTACAGAAAGTCTACGCTACCTTCCGCCTGGCGCTACGGAATCCACTAGTGTTGTTTACGTTGGACGGAGTCGGGGACGTGTTCGTCGACGAGCTCCTACCGGCGTCCTCGTCCTCGCGATCCTCGCTGGACCGTTGTCCAGTTTCCTCGCGCTTCTCCCGCTCGTCCTTGCCGCTCTGCTGGTAGTCCTCGAACTTGATCTCGATGTCCATACGGTCGTCCGTTCTCGCGAACAGGCGCTGCTTACGCTCGGCCTTGACGGACCTCTTAAGGTTAGACGTCGTCTTCTGGACATCGTTGCTCTTTGGTTCCTCCTTGACATCGTTCTCCACGGTTGTCGACGTCGGCGCTGCCACCTCCGGGGAATTGCGTTCCTGTTGGCCACCGTCGACGACGACGCCGTCGCCGCCGTCGTCGCCGCCGCCGTTGCACGTCACCTCGACGGTCGGCGGCGACGCGCTGCCGCCGCGCTCGGCGTCGTTCTTGTCGCCGCTGACCTCGTAGCATTCCTCCTTTCAAACACGCTGCTGCTGCTGCTGCAGTTGCTGTTCCAGTTTCGGACTGTCGTTGGCCTGCCGCGAGGACGATCGCGACGTGTTGTTGGACGTGGTGTCGGTAAGGTTATCCGTCTCGTTGAACTCGTAGAGCTCCGCCGCGGTTGCCGTGGCCGTGGCCGTCGCCGCTGCCGTTGTCTTGGCCACCTTGGGCGTTAAGCCGTTGGTGCCATTGGTGACGGTGCCGTTGGTAGCAGCCACCTTACCGACACGCCGTTGCGTCGCGTTGCCGTTCTCCAGGGCGCAGGCGACCGCCGCGGAGGAGGACGGCTGCGTGTCGGCCGCGCCGCCGCGTCGCGACTGTGTCGCGTCCGTCGTCATGTCGGACGTCGCCACCAGCGAGTAATTGCCGTTGGACAGGCGCGCGAGATTGCCGCTCGCGACCTCCCGGCCGAGAAACTCCTCAACCACGCGACGCGACGTCGGGCTCGAGACGCCGTCGAGGAGATGCTCGATCAGGCGGCAGGCCGGGACGCCCTGGTCAAGGTAATCGGGCTCCTCGACCACGAGCTCGGAGACCGCGCTCGATACCATGCCCGTGTTGAGTTTCTCCTTGAGGAAGCCCTCCGGTCGATTCTTGAAGAGCTGCAGCCGCGTCCACTTCTTCGCGTTGCGGTAACTGGTGTTACCCTTGTAATCGACCTGGATCACCTTCTCGACCTCGATCAGCCGATGAAGATCGGCGATCGTGTCGCGCGCGTCCACCGCGTAGTTCCGTAGGAGATAGTTGCAGATGCGATCGGCATCCGGGCGCGCTTTGCGCCGACGGAGCTGATCGATCGCCTCGAGTATGTGGTCCTCGTGCGTGATCCGCGGCGCCGCCTGCACCGGGTCCTCCTGCATCTTCGTCATTCGTATCGATATACGGGGCGCGACGCTGCCTCTCGCTCTATCGCTCCCTCCTCTCCCTCTTCCTCGCCCTCTCCCGCGCCCTCGCCCTCGCGATTCGGCCGGCCGCCGCGCCGCTAACCGCTCCTCGACCAACACCGTCCTGCCTCCTCGTTGCCGGGGATGACGACGACCCACGTTGCTCACGATCACAGCTCCGATGTCCGGATTGATAATGATCTCACCTGGGCGCTCCGGGACCTTCGCAAACCAAACGCAGACTTGTGATTTTTGGAAACAGCGCGCGCGCGCGAGAGAGAGAGACCCGCGACCACGATCCACACGCGCCGGACGTTTTCGCGCGATCCTCTCGTTTCGGCGTGAACGCGCGCGCGCGCGCTCCGGTTTCGGCGTGTCTCGCGTGTACGTGCGCCGCGCCGCACCGCGCGCTGTCGATGTCGGTCCGCTGTCCGCTGTCGTACGTCCGTAGGTCTGTCCGTGTGTTCGCCGCACCGCGCCGCGCCGCGCCGCACCGCGTCACGCCGTACCACGCCGCATCGCGCCGCACCGATACCAAATTTAAATTCTACGTTACGGGACCCGAACGTGGTCCCGAGGATTCCTCCACTTCCGATATCGTCCCGGCGGCAGGCTCTTCCGTTTCGTGCACGTCGGAACCTTCGCGTTTCGGTCGCGCTTTCTGCCGTGTGCCGTCTCTCGTCGCGGGAACCGCGCGGATCAACTCTCGCCCTCTCTCTCTCTCCGTCTCTCACCCTCGCTCTCTCGCCGTCGCGCTGACGGGCGCGCTCTATCGAGCTCTCGCTCTCTGGCGCGGCGCGCGCTATCGCCGTTGCCGCCGCCGCCACCGTCACCGCCGCTGCCGCCGCGTGTCCGCGCGATAAATCCGATCTTCGTGCCGCACATGACGCAGCGACGCGACGCAACGCGCGCTCCTTCATCCGGAAACGGGCCCGACGCAGTGGAGGAAGAATTCGGAGAAACGCGACGCGGAGCGCGATCGCGAGTGATCGAGGGCGGCCGACGGGTCGATCGGGCGCGCGCGTTATGGCAGCGTAGCGTGAAACGCGCCAAACGTTCCTCACGCCGGAGCGACCCCTCTCGATCGGAACGCGTCGCGCCGCGCCGCGCCGCGCCGATCATCGCCCGATATCTCCTCGCCGTCTATCGCGGTGCGTTTCCGAGAAAAGTTTTTGAATCGAAGCGCTCCGCGCTTTTATCGCTCCTCCGCTCCTCCGAATCGCCTTGCCACGCGCGCGCGGGTGCCCCGCGGACGCCGCGCTCGGGAAGAAAAAGAAAAAAAAAACAACAAAGGAGTGCGAGGCGCACCGCGAGGACACCCGCGCGCGCGTGATAATCTCTCGCCGGCGCGCCGCGGATCGAACATCGAACTGCGGAGCGCGATGCGCGTTTCACACCCCTCATCCGCGCGCGCGACCGCTCGCTCGCGTCTATACGGAGATGCCGGGAAAAACCCCGAGCGTCCGAGCTCGCGGAAAAGAAAACCTTGGTCGCGCGAAACTCCTCGATAGTCTCGATACGCCGCGCCTAAGCCGCGGCCAATTCGCGCGAACGTCCGCGTGTCCTCCAAAGCCACGCCGAGCCGCGACTCCAGACCGGACCGGATCGGCCGAATTCTCGCGTTCGTAAACAATGGCCACACGGGGACCTCCGCGGTGCCGGCACCTGGTCGCTCCGCTCGCCCTCGCCGGGACGTGGGTTGATTCGGCGCGCACCTTGATCGCCGCGATCGGGACGTACGTACGGTCCTCTCCCCGTGAGATGACACGCGCGCGCGAAAGAGAGACGAAAGAAAGGGGGGAGGGAAGGGAGAGCTCGGTCTCGGTGACTCTTTTTCTCCACGCGCGCCGGGGGGAAGTACGCGCCTGCTGCACTTACCTGCGTGCCGAAAAGCGCGTAATAAATGCGCACCACCGTACCCGGGTCCGCGCTCACCTCGGGCCGCCGCCGAGCGTAAACGTTAACGAACGGGAACGTAACCGGGCGCGTGAAGCGCGCCCCACGTGTCGACGCGACGACGGACCGAACGCGATCCTCGCGACGTAACGCCCGACGGGTGTGTGCGAAAGAAGGTTGCGCGGCGCGGAAGGAAACGGTCCGGACTCCGGGATAAATTCGCGCGAGAAGGAAATGGCCACCCTAACCTCAAACGAACCTCGCACAGCCGCGACGACTGTGCGAATACCAGCGTGAATACGTCGGCAGCAGCCGCGGCCGCTACCGCGGCAGCGGCGGCGGCGCGTCGCCGGACGACAATGTCGCTGTGTGCGTGCGCGCCTCTACGCGCGCGCGCGCGATCGCGCTTCGCGTGTGTGCCGGCCGTACACCGGCGGGCGGCGCGGTTCTCTCGGCAAAACGACTCCGTTCTCTATCAGGATCTCAGCCTCGTCGACGCGACGTCGCGCGTCGATATACGTATCGGCGCGCATCGACGAGCTCGCTCCTCGATCGCTTTCGCGTCGCGTGCGCGGGCGCGCACGGCGCGGCGACGATGCTCATCGGCCGCGCGGCCCGCGTCGCGGCCGGGTCGGAACGGGGATCTTTCAACGGCGGAGAACGCGGCTTGCCCGAATCGGATCGAGCGGATCGATACGTAACTCGCCAAACTTACCAAACTTGTCGGGAAACGCGTCTCGCCCTCGTCGTCTTTCACGCGCGCCACTGCCACCAGTGCCATCGCCACCGCCACCGTCATCGTCGTCTGCTTCTCGCGCGCGTGTCGTCTGCTTTGGGTCTGCTCTCTCTCGCACGCGCGCGTCGTTCCTTTTTCACGGTGCGACGTGCCCGCGGTAGCCGCGTGTACGGTCTTGAATTTCTCAGAAAAGTAAAACGCGATCGTCTATCCGTCGCGTCGAACGATCTCGAGTAGCCTGGAGTAGCCTCTGGCGGCGCGCCGTTTGAGCCAGGCGACGCGCGATCTCTCCCTCTCTCTTTCTCCCTCGCCGGCGGAGAAGAATGGCGCGTTAACCCAATCCCGGGGCCTAAACGAACTCGATTTCCAACACGTACCTGTGGATAGCGCGACGCGGCGCACCACGGACTTCCGAGTCTCGTACCTCGATCGCCGCGGGACCGTTCACGCTCGGTCCGATGGACGCGCGCCGCCAGCTGCGCCGATTTCGACGGAAAACAAAACGGAGCGCACGCCGGCCGCGAACGAACGCGCGGATATGGACGGACCGCCAAGATCAGCCAAGATGGCACGCAACGCGCAATTCTCCCACCGGCGGTAGGGCCGGCCCGTCGGCCGGCCGGTGCCCGACGCCTTATTACGACGTCACCGGTGCGGGCGGGTCCGTAAAGCCGCCCGCAAATAACCCGGCGGAAATTAACACGCCGCACAATAGATGCAACTTGAGTCGAAACGGAGATTCAAAATGGATGGAAGAAACGAAAAAGTTTTTTTTTTTTTTAAGAATCCGCAAAACCGGTTTGCGCGAGCGATGCGATTCTCTTTAATGTCCACCACTTCTATCAACGCAGATTAAGGGCCGGTCTCACAGTCTCCGATTAACGTGATTCTCCGATTAAACTCACTCTGCATCTCTTTCTAACTATCCCCCTAGAAAGAGACGAAGAGTGAGTTTAATCGGAGAATCACGTTAATCGGAGACTGTGAGACCGGCCCTAACTTTATCGGCTATCGATACAAGAGCGATAGAATTTCGCTTACGGGACAGATATATATCTGTTGTTTGTTTTCTCTAATTGATCCCTCTTCCCGTGCGTTAAAAACTTTTCTAGAAATTATGGTTCTACTTGCGTCAACGAAATATCACGATAAGTTAATCGGGTTAATCGTTAATTGGAAGCTAATCGGAATTCGATCCAGATTGCCCCTCCCCCTCAACCCGAGGGTTTATCTCCGCAGTGTAACCACGCTCTCGAATTACGATGTTGTGAGTTGTGATCGGAAAGTGAAAATCGAGGAACAGTCAGTACTACGGAATTCAGCTCTTTCGATATTAACTTACCCAAGTTCTTCTCGAGAAAGAAAATTTTCGGGAAGGACACACACGCATCGCTCGCGAAGCCAGCATCGCGCTACAATGTTGCTTTTATCTTGCCGAAAACCGCGACGCCGCTGGTGCCTCTTCCGCTTTCGGCCGATCATGTGATCATGTGTGGCGTTGCGCGCGCACGTGCATACACGCGTACGGTGAAAGTGGGAGGCGACGCATGCGCGGAGCGATCGCACGGGTCGCGGTCGCAGCCCGTTCAATTTAAAATTTTAATCCTCGACGCGGAATAAATAGCATTTTTTTTTTAATGCCACACATAAAAACGTAGAACAAAGTTTTTCATCGACATTTCAGATGGCGGGGAGGGAAAACAATAACTTTAAGGCAATCAATAAAATTTTTCAAAATTATCGGGATTATCCTGAGCGTTCACATATAATTCGTCTTTCTCTGAATCTCTCATTAACTCTTTCACAAACCTGGGATCTCATTATCGCATTATTTTAAATTTAATTTGAGTCGTTTTTGTCAAGTTGCGTAAATAAATTCATCAAGGATACACACGTTTGCGCATAACGCTTTAATGAGACTGCTTCAGGATTGGCGAACGGTCGAATCGCACACTTTCTCGCTGCATATTTTATTATAAAACGTACAAGTATATCACAAAAGTAAATTAAAAAAACCGCATCTCTTTCTTACGACAATTTCTATAAGAGGCAATCTCCGGTACACGATCGGTATCACAACAGCGCGATCGTGGTTTCGATCTCCTTCTTCTTTCGCTTCGTTCTCACGCGTAATTGTTCTCCTTCTCGGCAAAATCACCGGTACTGTGTCGCTTAATTTTCGAAATCTGCGCATAAAATGCAAAAAACCAGTTGGTACGATGATACTCGTACGAAAGACGTCACAGACGTACCAAGTTAAGCGGCTTGACTTTCGCACTGACTCTGTTAGATTCCTTCAGCGGACTCTGCCGTATCTTTCCGGCATTCTGTTTCTCGCTCACAGGTGAGTATCGGTGGAAATTGATTAAGCTCCTGTTCAAGCGCTGCGGAGACTGCGGATTATTCGTATTGAGCGACGAATGATTCCTCGGCGGCGTCAGGAACCTTGGAATGCCGTATGCGTCCGTTCGCTCACGCGTGGGTGTTGTACATTTCTTCGGGGTCGGCAGCTTAGACGTTCTGAAATATTAAGTAAATCCGATCGTTACGTAATCTTGTAAGTTTCTTTATTTTCTATGCTCTTGATAAATGACAGACTGGACAGATGGATCATCGTTTCAAGTCGATTTGCTCTTACCTTTTAGGACTGCCCTTCTGTTCATCGCTGCCGCTCATGTTTACATACGTAGTCACCGGCGAAATATCACAGGAAAGGTTACGTTTTTTATTAACAGACGTCAACGGTGCGTTCTTGGTTTTTTGGCCGTCCGGCGTTGACGAGGCTATCGGTTTGGATTTTGCAGATTTCTTAGGCACGCAATTATTATCCGAATTAGGGGTGCTGCTGATTATTTTATTACCCAGTGGAGTAGTTTTGTCGGAGTTTGGTGGAGTAGTGATTTGAAAAGATGTCCTTTGTCTCGCGACTGATGCTACATTGTTGTAAAAATTAGCAGATTGTATTATCAGTTAATAAAATGTCAACTCTTACATACTTGATAATTATAAAAGTTATCAATTTTTATAATCATAAATTATTAGTTACTTCTGTTTAATAAGAATTCGAGGATATTATTACATTATTAGTTAATTAATCAAGTGTTCTTAAGTTCTTTCAACAGATTAAACATACCTCTTTTATTTTGCATGTTATCTACAGGATGCACTGCTTTCATAGGACCTCTTTTACTGACTACGTCCGATCTTTTCTTCAGCTTATTTTTAACATCGCTTATACC